AGATGTGTATAAGAGACACATCGAAATGAGTGCATACTATTGCAAATTAACTTCGTGTAGGTAAATAAGGTTCTTTACAGGCCTGTTGCGCTATTTATATTGGTGGTTTTTGTATTAATTTTTGTACAGCATTGATTGAAGTAGCTGGCGAAAACATCGTAGTAGCCGATCGAATGCGCCGGCCGCCGGCTCTTAAATAAACCCCTGATGTATGCCGATGATACCCCTCTTTTATGTAGCTCCTCTACCAATCACACTCCAACATGAATTAGATTCAAACTTTAACAAAATATCTAAATGGTTAACTCTCAATTGTTAATAAAACTAAATTTATGATTTTTGGTACTACTCGCATTCTTAATCATTTTAAAGATATTTCTCTTGTCCATAATGGGGATTGCGTAGAAAGAGTGGAATCATTTAAATATTTGGGTGTAATTTTTGATCCTCAATTGACATGGAAGGATTATATGTCATATTGCATCAAAAGTATCAAAACGAATTGGTGTCATACGTCGCATCAAATATTACTTGCCTTACCAAACACTTACTGTGATTGCAAATGCCCTTGTGATGCCAGTTTTTGATTACTGTAGTTGCGTTTGGTCGAATTGCAATATACGATATTTAAATACTCTGCAAATTTTACTAAATAGACTATAGGTAGAGTTGTACTTTCTGTTAATATAATGACTCCTATAAATGAAATAATGAACACACTTAAATGGAGTAAGCTCAATGAAAGATGGAGAAATCAGTTACTCATAATTATTTATAAGTGTCTACAAATGTATGCACCATCATATCTGTCGTCTATGCTTGTCTTTAATGAAAATATTCACTCTAAATGCACCTGTAGCTAAAGTAGCAAATTTTGAATTTTATCACATATTTAAATTAATTTCTGTTTTCTTTCATGTTTTATGCCTTTTGTTGTTTTTGTTTTTTAATTCTAATGATTTTATTTTTATTATGTTAATTTTAATTAAGTTTTTATTAATAATTGGACCATTTGGGAGACCAGTAATTTTGTAATGAAAATGTATCCAGTCAAAAGAAGGAATAAGTAAATAAATAAATAAATAAACACTGATTTGCTCAGAATGTAACGTGAGTAACCATGGAATTGCCCAACTTATAAAATTTTAAATCACAGGCTAAGTGCATGTAGGCTGTAAATTGGCTACAAAGTAGTATAGTACATGTGGAAAAATTGAATTGATGATATTTCTTTGTTTTTTCCAGTGTTTTCTGTGTATGTTCTGCTGTAATTGTCACTGTATCAATTAATGGAAATGCTGTCGAAGACAAAGTAACCCGATTAGATTGTACCATTCAAAAAACTGATCTTACAAATACTAATATTCCATTTATTTCATGGCAAGAGGTTGTCAATGGCTCACCTGTGACAATAGTGCAGTATCAGAATGCACCTGGTGCTGTCCAGCCGCCTTATGATGATAGATTTAGTATTGAAGGAAATGACACTATACTCGCTCTTGTTATTGATAAGGCAAACAGAAAAGATAGTGGCACATATAGATGTGAAGTTCGTATTGTAGGTGATGCACTTTCACCAGCATCTGGTACTGTCACTATAACTGTTGATTGTGAGTATGAATTGAGCTTGTCATTTGTTTTGCATTTTGTTTTATTATTGAGTCTGCTTCAGATTTAGACATTGTCTCAAATGGAAACATGTAATTAATATATTAATGTAAGAAAATAAATCTTTTCTACTGGACTTGTTTATTTCATGACATCAGGCCAACTGGTGTTATGTGGCTAAAGGTCTTTGTAGTGTTCACGAGAATAGACTTGAATAAACTCATCAGACTGTCGTATTTACTCCAACAAACTTATAGAATTATTTCCAATGCAATCAGCTAGATAGTTAGGTAAAAAGACGTTTCAGACCGTCTCATGAACACCATGCTGTTACTAGTCTTGTTCATGAACTTCCGCATTACGGCGCCCTTCATATCAGGTCCTACTAAGGCTTTACCCAAAACATTAAATTACAATGGGTCACTACAGTCTTTGACCTATGATGTCAGGTGGATTGTCACAGGTTGAATTTGAGAGAAACAAGCAAGTCCAGTAGAAAGATTTATTTTCTCGCATTTATACTGTACACTTACCTGGATGAATAATAATATTCACAAACATATGTAAGTAATATACTTTTCATATTTTCTTGACAATTATTCAAAATTCAATTTTATTACAGTTAACCTTGCCTAATTCAACTTGGAAATTTTGTGTACCAAAAGCTAACAATGATAAAGGTTTCTTTACTGTTTGTATTAAATTTTGGGCATTAATCATCGGACGTCGAGGTGCCAAGCCTATTATTTTTTATTAACCTCCCAAAAAGAGTGAAGCCCTGGGAGGCTATTTTTTGACCTGTTTTCCTCTTATTAATGTTGTTGTCATGTACAGTAGTTGTCGTTCATTTGCTTGTTACCACGATAGTAAGTTTGGAAAGTCTGGGTTTGAACTTGACAGAATGCAAGACGGTAATAAAAAGATGGAGCAGTTTGCTTTTGGTACGTGTGTGAATGTGCTAATTCCTCATTTGTGACTAATATTTCAGTAATGAGGAAAAACTTTCAATTTAATTAAAATTGTAATATTTCTTCATGTTGTTGTCATTGTCACTGGAGTAGTAAATTCTTTGATACCACAATAACTAAAATTTGACTGATTGGTTTCAAACTCCAACTCATCAGTTCTCAGTGAAAAATCACAATGTGGGATGGCTTTTTTCTAATGAATGTTTAAATCTGTTATTTTTATTATGTGTTCTATGGAGCGAGTACATTGATTGTTTGGGCTTTCGCCTATTCTCGCATCCTGGCTATATTGTTGTTTTATGCCAAATAAATATTATTAATAGGAGAATTGCTAGTATACAGATTATAGTGATAACTCACTATCACTTATCTATAATAATAATAATCTTTATTTGAAACTTCACTTCTAAAACAGTGGCACACGATGACAGTGCATTCACAAGAGTATAACATACAACATAGAATTTAAAATAAAATAACAAACGGTAACAAATAAATCCAAATACTCTACAGAATTATGACAGACAGTCTCAACAATTTTGACCATATTAAAATACAATAGGCAGAAATAGACTAAAAATGTACTTAATGTTGGTATTCCCATAGATATAAAACGGCTTGTTTAAAATTTTTACAGAATTAAAATTAATCAATTGACAAATTTAAAACATTTAAAATTTCAGTCCAACAATGTTTAAAAAATTTTTTTTTTTTTTTTTCTTTTTTTAAAGTAACTACTAAACACAGGTAAAATTTTGAGTCGTGACAGTCATAGATTGAAGTTGATTAATTATTCAGGCTCTTTTCAGGCAAGACGTACACGTTTTGTCAAATATAGTACTTATTTCCTCATTATTTCTGTAATATATTTCATTGTTGCCAAGCATTAGACAGGTTTTTGTATGGAAATCTCCAGAGATAAGCCAATTCCAAACAAACTGCCAAACCATCATTTTACACAACATGTATATAAAAATCATCAAAAAAGGACTACATTTATTAAGTCCTTTATTCGAACACTGTATTTACCTTTCTTTGATGATTTATATATGATTTAACAGTGTTAACGGTTTCCTTGATTTATGTTTATATATATATATATATATACATATATATACATATATATACATATATACACATATATATACATATACATATAGACATATATACACACATATATATGCATATATATAGGCCTATACATATACATATATACATATATATATATATACATAGGCCTATATATACATATACATATATATATTTATATATGCATATACATATATATATATATACATATGTAGATATACGTATATATAAATACACATATACATATACACATATACATATATACATATACATATATATATATATATATATATACTATACATATACATATATACATACAC